CAAAACCCGAAACAAAATTATAGGTAAAACGGTAAATATTTACGGCGCGCCAGGGCGTTACCGATTTCGTTATTTTATATTTGTATACACGATGTTTTCTACCAGAAATATTGCTCCAATCGAAAAATGACGAGATATCGATTTTGTTCCTATTAACATATAGCCACTGACAAGAAAGATTGTTTTTTAATATCTAAAGTATTTTTTTTTAATAATCAGGAAAAACCTTATGATGAAAAATACGATTTTTTTTCAAATCACGGCGCAACGATTTCAATAATTAAAATTTTGACGGCTTATGTTTTCTACTATAAATATCACTCAAGTATGTTCGTTTGTTAATAAATATAATTAAGTGATTTATCAAAATCCTGTTTTCTTTTCTCGGGGCAGGCTCACATCGATTTTCAAAATACTAACCATTAGTATGGTGTGTGTTGAGCGAAGTAACTCGTATCATTCCCTTACAAATTTTAAATTAGGTCCAACCTATATACGACCTCGAGCCGACGACAAGTATCGGACCGACTGATTCGTTGTGTTGTAATCAATCTTCTGGTGGCTGGTTGACCCTAACCTTATCCTCCCTGATCCGTATGACATCACAGTGTGTTCTTTACCACGCCGTAGAAGGACTAGGTGCCACGAGCAGATGCAGCCAAGATTTGTCCGGATCTGATGCGGTCTGAGTCCCGGGGCGGGATGTCCATTGGACCGCATAGATCTGCTGTGTGACAAATTATCTCAATGATTTCAGAGTTCAATAATTAAAAAGAAAAACCCTAGAAAGTTTTTCGGAAAAGTTTAGAGTGATACCTGGTTACTTCACTCAATTAATTACGCACAAATGTACAGAACAAAAAAAAAATAATAATAATACTAATAACAGAAATAATACGAAATTGCACGATTGTTTACGATATTTACTTTATTGTCGGTTTCACTATATTGTACCACAATGATGGACGAGATTTTGGATACCGTTGAAATAAAGGAAATAGTTAAAACGTAGCGGCGTGCGGCGTACGGTTGATGGCGATGACCACGAAGAAAAAAAAATAACCATTAATTTACTCTTTGCGCGATGTAAATGACCATATTGTTTTACATTGTATTATGGAAGACGTGCCGCGGCAAACTCAAAGCCGATTCCGAATAATATCCGCGTGATATTTCCGTGGCGTTGCGAGAGTAAACAACAATGCTGACGCAGTAGTGCATTCTGTAGAAATGCAGCGGGTGTTGTCACACGGTGATGTTATAACACTAGTTAAAACACTGTTTTACGATCCCAACCTATGGGTTACGAAATATTTTTGATGGGTCGCAATGAAAGAAAAATATTTTGATTATAATATAATAAAATAGAAAAAATGAAAACTATATTAATAAGAATAATACAAATTAAGTAAATGTGAAAAACCAAGAAAAAAAACTGGAAAATGTACGAAATATAGGTTTACGATACATTTATATAATATATATATTTGAAATTTTTTCCTGTGAACAACTTTTCTACCAGCAGTTTTGCTCCAATTCACAATGATAGCACTTTTTTTGAAAGGAAATCTGACTAGGGGCAATTTTTCGATTTCCCTAAGATTTCCTCAGCAAATGTGAAAAACCGGGAAAAAAACATAGGAAAACCGGTACAATTATAAACAAATATTATTAAAGAAAATATATAATGGCTATTCAATTATTTTATCATAACATGGCATATATTGTTAACATAACAGCACTGTCAACTGAACTCCGCTCAGAATCGTTTTTTCTTTAACAATGGTTAGCATCGTTAGATATATAATAAATTCCTTTCTGTATCCTACCGTTCCAATTTCCCACCTACAACAGTTGCTGCGTTCTGTGTGGTCGAGAAAAAACAAATTTAGTTTATTTTTTTTTTAAGAATTTTAATATCAAATTTTGATGGAAATGGTAGATTTACGACCTTTCAAAACACGTATAACCTAACTTCGCTCGGAATCATTTCTTGTTAGCAATGGTTGAATGGTTTATCGTTGCTTTCAGATATAAATAATTGAATAACTTTATCATACGTATTCTACCTTCCCAACATCTCATCTACAACAGTGGCACACCCGTCTGCAGTATCAGCACTTTTTTTTTTCCTTCTAAACCGATTATACCTGCAGTCGTATACAAGTGGCCCGCAGGCAATACGTCCGCATTGACGGTGTATATAGGTACTCACCGCCGCTGAATTTACGGACGAACGGAGTACCTATACGATGAAACATTCTAAATATTTGTATACGCGTGGGTCGTACAAATATTGACCGTTGCACTCCGTCGGTCGTATAAACTATAATGGGCTAATTCCTTGGGATTTTTAAACATTTTTCTAAAAACTATTTCCAATAAAACAATTTTCGAATACAGTCCAGCGTGTTTTTATAATTGATTTAAAGTTAAAATAAATGAAAGTGGTTTGTACCTTTATGCGCGATTCATCACAGCCGAATCTACTATCGCTGCAGCACGCGCGGAAGTCTGGTAATTAAGATACAGAAACCGATTAATTAATAACTATATCTATTGTAGGTGAGCATTATTTAGTTTTTTTTTTTCTGCGAGAACGCAAAGATCGAATTCGTTTCGGCGTCAGTAACACACCGCGCACGGTACTTAGGCGATTATAATAACATNCACGCTGGCAGGTATCGAAAGATACACACAGCAATTAATAATATTACGTGTATACGGGCAACCTCCGGCCAGCATCCAGGACCGCCACGGGTACACCGACCGGATCGCGAAGGGGCGCAGCTCGCTCGTCGACGAGCCGCGGACAATCACGCGAAATCGTCATGGTACGGGTTCGATAATTTTCCGTTACCGGACGATTTTTGATCTATTTCGACGATTGCACTATCGAAAAATGCGCGCAGCCGTAGCCGGGGCCGCGGACGGTCGGAGACAAACGCGCGAAAAACACCACGCACGCAGTCGCCGTCGCCCCAAGGTACGAGGACGAAGCGCTCGCGTACCTCGCGATAGAAAGACAAATACAAACCGACGGAATATTATTCAGTCTCTCGGATCAGCGTACCACCGGACGTGTCGACGCGGAAAAACGAAAATCGCAACGGCGTACAGGTGCCGAGCTAGAAAACGTGCGGAAAACGGAAAACTGCGGGACGAGCGCGACAGCAGGTGTCGACGGTCCGACGGTCGCCGATCGAAATGTCGTCGCCCGCTCGCGTTGCGGCCATAGAGTACTATGGTTGCGTCGCGGCGCGCGAAAGGCCGGGCGCGGGACGTGGTCGATTAGTTTGACAATTTTTCACCGATACCGACTTACGCGATACCGTCGAATCAATTAAAATGTTCGCGCTGTTATGCACAGAGTCCGCGGACCGCAATAACCAATTACGTCCGACGATCGAACGCTGTCCGCGGTCGTTCAGCTATTATTCATTGTTCGCGTCGTTCGGCGACGTCCACCGACTGCAGCTGTACACGTACGGCTCGGGATACGGGGATGCGGGACCGATTGTTACGGGTGCTTACCTATACTCACCTATACTCAATGCTCATTGATGTTGGCCGCAATCGGTTTGAGAAACTAGCGGATGACCCGGGCCCTTCTGACGGCAAACGAAAATTCGACAACNTCCCAATTAAGTGCTTTTAAATGGGTTTCGACCAGTGTCGTGACATGTAGACTAGCATTGTCACATAGGAAAATAATCTTGTCACGTCTGGAGTAGTCATCGGCGCGTTTTTTATTGAGTGCTTTGCTCAATCTCATTAATTGTGTTCGGTAGAGAGCCTATACTCACCTATACTCAATGCTCATTGATGTTGGCCGCAATCGGTTTGAGAAACTAGCGGATGACCCGGCCCCTTCTGACGGCAAACGAAAATTCGACAATTCCATTATATCGGGCAATGTCATTTTATTCGAATTGTAAGCGGGTATCTAAATAATTCAAACGGAAAAGCCGAGAACCAACTTATGATTAAGTAGGTAGGTAGGTACGGTTTTTTTTTTTTTATAGCAATTAGTCTGTATGGAAATTTTATATAGCCGATGCATTAAACTAGAAGTCGGCGCGCCGTAAATACATTTGTCATTGCATTTCTCGGATCGAGTTGGTTCGTATGAAAATCGTTTGTTGATTTTACTTGTAGTTTTTTTTTAAACAATTGAGCAAAACTGAAAAAAAACCGTTGAAAAAAAGGAAAAATTTACAGAAAATATTCATACAGACTTGCAAATATTGACCAGATAAGTTATATTTGCATTTTTTAAACGCAATAAAGTTTTTGAAATATGTGATTTGAAAGTTATTTTTAGTCGTATAAAATTTTCGAGGTTTTTTTTTTTAGATTTTATTCGGTAATAATGCATACTATTATTTTACCAAACATAATTGAAAATTTATCATAAGCTTCATTGTATTATAGGTTGTAATTAGTGGTATGGAGAGCAGTTTTTTTTATTTTTATAATAATTGTTTTACTATCAAATTCTGACCAAAACGTTCAACATCTAGACATTTTTTTATATTATACATGCAATTGCGTATTCATATAAATCTACTTAATAGGCTATTAATTTTTATCATGATTTACAAATCAGCCATTTCCACAGTCAATTTTTCGATTTATACCATTATTTTATTTAAACTGTAAATTCGATAAAATCACAAGAAAAACACTACAAAACTGAAAAACAAATACTGAACATTGTTAACAACGATATTGTATTTTTATTAAGTTTCGTAAAAATACATTAATTCAAACAGAATAGATAATAGAAAAATAGAACAGATCCAAATACCGCTGTCGACCCGATAGAGAGACAACGCACATTTGCGAGAACATAAATTTCTAATTCAATTGTAAGACATTCGACAATTTGTCTATGCGTTGTTATTGAAATAACTCGTTGCAGGCTTCAAATCCTATATAACAGAAATTTAAGATTAAAGATTACAGATAATGATTTACTACATGATTGATATTTTCACCTCGAGTTCAACTTTTAACTTTTTGAATAAAATTTCTATCTGAAACTGGAACTTCATTTTTAAATTCGGTTGACGGTATAGATCACTTAAACAGTATAATACATCCAACGTCCACGGGCTGTTAGTATTCAACACCTATGATAAAACAAAATAGAATTATATTACACCAACGAGAAATTAAATCGATCAGAATGAAACGTATTCGACATACCGTGCTATAAGCACATGGTTCAAGAATTCTCGTTACAAGCAGGAGAGTGTTCATCAATTTGTCCTCTCCTCCTTGATACGCATTTATCAACAATGTCTTCATGTCTTCAAACGTCGTACTAATCGGTTTATTCTTGGCTATGGTCATCATCCCGTACCATCTTCCCAAATTGTTTAACGTTTTCTTACAAATAGGACTCACCTCGCCCCGGCTCAATAATGACTAACAAGATACGCGAGATATTATTTTAAAATATATCGTATTCATCATTATTAGGAAACGGATTTATAAACATTTAAAATTTANAGTATTCATCAATTTGTCCTCTCCTCCTTGATACGCCTTTATCAATAATGTCTTCAAGTCTTCAAACGTCGTACTAATCGGTTTATTCTTGGCCAGGGTCATCATCCCGTACCGAATTCCCAAATCGTTCAACGTTTTCCTACAAATAGGACTCACCTCGCCCCGGCTCAATAATGACTAACAAGATACGCGAGATATTATTTTAAAATATACCGTATTCATCATTATTAGGAAACGTATTTATAAACATTTAAAATTTACAAAAAAGCGCTTAACTGTATCAAAAAACAGCTTATAAAATGTTTGAAAAAGATATAATGGTAAACAGAAAATTCACCTATCTAATGGTTTTTTTGCGGATTTAAATTACATATAAATCTGTTCTCTAATCATCATATAAAAAATAAAAAAAAAAATATTCCTACTCACTTTAATGTTTGTTTCTGTTTCCAACGTTATAACGTGAGTTTTTCGTTATTTAACAAATTCAAAAAATTTAAGTATACTGTATGGTGGTTTGATTCGATGTTAATTCGATTTGTAACAATATACCGCGCTAACCACGGTAGGCATTTTTATCTGTAGTCACGTCCGCCAAATTTGGTTTCGACGCGAAATTCCTACAATGGACAAAATCCACCAAATTGTATCCGCTGACAAGGGTTTGCCAGTAATATCGCGAACCAATTTATACCACTTAATGAAAAAAATGGATTTTCGATATACAAAGCGAAGTCGAAACAGTGCTATGACCGAAAGAAACGAAATTATACCATTGGTAGGTGCGACAAAGCCAACAGACTAAACACCATCGTTACTTTTACTTTTTTTTTATTTTTCGTTATATAGGCTCTCTATTATAAGCCATCTATACGAAAGTATAATATTATACGGTTTACCTATAAGTATTTTTATCTTAATTAAATAAACAACGTAAAGGTATCGTATAGATATTATTATAATTTCTAATTTAATTATTGCGTGTTCTTCGTTCGGAATCTTCGTAACCGAACGGTAATTTTTAACGTTTTCGAATTTCAAATTTGCGTCCGTATACACATCATCCGAGGGGCTGGCCTAGGAGCCGTCCTCTCGGATAAAGTCTGTAGTAAATAAAGTATGGTAATACATTAAAGAAAATGAAAACCCCACCTATGTGTACCTATTATAATTATACCCCAGCGACAAGTATTGTTATTAATTTTAAAGTGGCATTCTGGAGCTCTTGAGGATATTTTTTTTTCTCTTTCTAAAACCGCTAAGCCGCTGTCTCTTATTTTCCCCCTATCGCTGATCGGCCAGTAAATTATTATTGTTTTATAATAGTGGCACCACCTGCTGTGCTCGTTTGTTGCTGTTTTTGTTTTCCTTCCTTTTTTAATACTTTTTATGTATCTAGGTGTAGTTATAATAATGATGAACACATTATACAAAATTTATAATAAACAATATTATTATAATAGAACAGTACAAACAGGTACACCCAATTAAAACTATTAACATGAATATTTTTTTTTTGTCATAAATTAGTTTTGTCAAATATTAAGTACCCATTTAGGTGTCCAATTCTAAATGACTTTTAACACCGTTGAAAAAAATAGTATGTACAATATTCCAGATACGGTGATCAATAAGTTTTAATAGTTCAATATTAAATATTGTTATTTCCCTGACATTTTTCTCGATATTAAACCAAGCAGCTAATATTTTCCTAGAATTTATATTGAGAACAACCTATTGTACAAGGGATCCCACTACAGATTTTCCATTATAATATGCAAATTATACATTTTCCAGAATCGTCTGAAATGAAATTTGATTACCCGCTAAACAATAACTATTATTATTATTACTCATAGAATGTTATTTCAAGTAATATTATGTTTAATGTGGGTATACTGCAGAGCATACTCGCTGTATATGTCAGGCTTAATTATTAATTTATCATTATTTAAATTTCAAACTAAATTATATTCATGCACTTCAAAATCAACGAGAATAAATATTATTGGCTTTAACTATTATTAATATCCCTGGAAAATATTTATTTAAACAAAACCAATCATGTTACCTATTAAAGAACCGAATAATAAGGCACAAAATTGTTGTTTTTAATTACTTCAAAAAACAATTTCTATAGAGTATTAGGCGTGTAATTGAAAAAAATAAAAACCTAATGATTACACTTAGAAATAACTAATCCGTGCATATTTTATAAAAATTATGTATTACAAATAATATGCATTATCATCTGCTTTAATAATTTATCATATAGAACAAATTTATGAACTCATAATAATTCAGGTTTTAATGAAGAAAAATAATATATTATTAATTTTGATCATTCATCAAACCAATATCTTTGTTTTATTTTTATCATAAATATTTTTGATAAACTATTATTTGTAAACAAACTATAATGGATCATTACATAACAATATTATCATAATAAAATAATATAATATTCAATAGTTTAACAAAATAAAAATGTTAGTATACAAATCTGTTTCATAAACTGTAAAGGTATAAATCATTATCACATTTTTTTTAAAAATATTTTGATCCCAATAACATAAAAATGATGCGAACCGATGTATACTCATATTTAATTTATTTCTTTCAACATCTCTGTAAGAATGTTCTCAAGTTTACGAGAATCAGCTGCAAAATTTCTTATACCTTCAGATAACTTGTCATTAGCCATTTTATCTTCGTTCATTTCCCAACGAAATTTGGCTTCGCTGATTTCAATTTTTTCCAAATCCGATGCTTTTCCTAAAATTAAAATTGAATTATATTTCTACAATAATGATAAAAAGTTGAATTCAAATAAATTTTTACCATTCTTCACAGTCAAATATTGGGTGAGTGGCTCATTAGTTGATTCTAATTCCTCAAGCAACTTTGGACTGATTGTTAACAAATCACATCCAGCTAATGCTTTGATTTCGCCTAATACAAATATAAAATTAAACAATTATTTATTTATAATTGACCCAAGTAAGTTGTTACAGAATTAAATGTTTTAAATAAGACCTGGATTTAAATACATTAAAAATAATCAAAAAATTCTCAATAAAAAAAAGCTAAAAATGCCTTTAAAAACTGTATTTTACTGAGGAAATGTTCTTAAAAACTAAAATTTAATTTTTTTCATTTATTGTTTTATTGGGTAATTTATAATATTTTTATTTTATTAAAAAAAAATTGAAAAATTTGACTTATGACTGTAAGGTTGTATTTCATTGGTTAAGTGGAAAACTCGAAAAACATGGGTAATATTTTTAATTATTAAACTGTATCATAGATAATTAAATATAACAAGGTTATTTAATAGTACTATTATGTACAAATACTGTATAGGTAATAATATTATTATACTCGTATATTGTATAAATATGCAATAAAACAAAAGCAAAATGACCGAAAAATGGTAAAAAATTCAAAATAAAAGTTTCACTTTTTAAGTCTCTGTTATATGAATCAAATTATGTACTTAGAAAACATCATCCAATATTAATCAAAAAAATATGCATTTTGCATTGAAATATGGGCCTTAGTTATAAGTATAGAATCCATGAATTTATATAAAACTTAGAAAAACATATATAACAATCAAATTGAATTTGAAACTACACAGAGCTAATTATTTATGATCAATAATAACAATTTCTAACACAATCTTCTAAACTGTATGGATTTAAATAATTTGACATCAAAATAAAAATATATTAACTTTTAAATTTACAGAAGAATTTTAAATATCATGACATTTATTACAATCAAAGTAAATTGGAAATAGAAAAATACCAAGAGAATAGACATTTAGATTTATATGAAAATCAAAAACGTGCAAATCAGATCAATTTTACAAAAATTCAATCATAGCAGTTTCTATTTTTGAAATATAGGATTTATAAGCCAATAAATTATTTGTTGTTTCTAGAATTGGGCCATGTCTTCTGAACAAATTTTTTAAACACATATCTGAGACATAATTGTATCTTGTATTACAATATGATTCTGAAAAATATTTAACATCTTGTTTTTTAATATACTGAAATCAATATGTCCAATATCTAAATACCTGTTTTTAAGTATCTTACCTATAATCACCATCAATCTTCCACTATATTTTAAATATTGTAAATAGTGATTGGGTGAAAATTTGAATTATCATTTAATTTTAATATATGAAGTATAGAGTATTTTGTATTACAATACTTGTTACATAAATATGTAGCATCTAGTATCTAGAATCTAAAATGTATCTAAAATTAATTCATCTAAAAATAAATATTTAGATATTCATTTTGAAGTATATTACTCATTTCTGGATGTTTATTTATAAGGTCTAAACTTTAAACCCTATGTAATTCAATATGCAAATATTCAAATTTGTAGTAAAAATGTTCATTTACCAATATTACGGAATGATGCGCCCATCACGACAGTTTTATAGTTGAATTTCTTAAAATAATTGTAAATGTTTGTCACTGATTTGACACCGGGATCGTCTAATGGCTCAAAACTTTTCTTGTTAGTATTTGCCACATGCCTAACAAATAAAACGTTAAAATACTTCAAAAATGTTCATAATTAAATAAAATTAATATATTAAGTAAGTAATGTCTTAACAATTTACCAGTCTAAAATACGTCCAACAAATGGGGATATTAATGTGACATCAGATTCAGCACATGCTATGGCTTGGTAAAGAGAAAACAACAAAGTCAAATTGCAATGAATACCATGCTGTTGTTCCAAAACTCTTAAAAATAATTTGATATATGAATATTTTTAATTTAGAAAAAAAGCCTGAAAACTAGTAAAATATTAAATACTAACTTAGCTGCTTGAATACCTTCCCATGTAGAAGCTAATTTAATTAATATACGGTCTTTGCTGATTCCAGCTTTTTCATACATTTTAATGTACTTAATAGCTTTAGCAATACTAGCTTCTTTGTCAAACGATAATCTAAAATCAATAAAAACAGTTATTATTTACATTATAAATAGTAATGTATTATTACCTAGCATCAACTTCAGTAGACACTCGTCCTGGAATTAGTGATAAAATTTCTGTACCGAACAATACAACGAGATTGTCCATGGCTTCTTCTGTTTGTTCTTCGACTGTCCTATCATAAGAATAATTGTAATTTATTTTAAAATAATATAACACAATAAGTACATAGAAAATAAAGTAATCTAGTGTGCATAATGTATTTGAAATTACATGATTAAATGCATAATAAATATAAATGTCTTAATTTTTATATGTTATACCTATGTACAAAACATCAAAAGAGTTGTAAATAAATATATTTGAAAAACAAAAAACTAGAATAAATACTAACTTTGCAGTTGCAATAGCTAATTTCAGAGCTTTAGATATCAGATCTTTATATTGCGGCATTTTTGCTGCAGCTAAGATAAGACTTGGGTTCGTTGTGGCATCAGTAGGCTGGTACTTTTTCATGGCTAGAACGATTTTAAAACAGATTAATTATAATTGAAAAATTAATGAAAACAATATTCACTAAATTTTAACACAGCTAAACTTACAATTTTTGAAATGCATATACACATAAACTATGAATAACACAAACCCTAGTTTTAAATTCTTAGTAAAGCGAGGAATGTATTAGTTAGTTGTAGTATGATATGCTTTTATTTTTTATCTGTAATCAAGTTTTTGACCATTCATCAACTTCATCTAACTCAGAAATAGTAGATATATCTTACAGAATATTTGATTTATTGATACAATGCGATTTGAGAGTATAATTATTTGTACTATCATTAAAGGGGACAAATTAAAGAAAAACGGGTACCTTTAAGGAACCATAGTTTTTTTTTAAAAAGCCATTAATTTTGTTTTTTTATTGTAGTTCTGTGCAAATAACTGTAGAAAACAGAAATGCCATAAATTCAGTTTAACACCCAAGTAATTATTTAAAATTTTTTTTTCCAAAATGTGTGTTTTTACATGATTAATTTTATGGTAACTACAAAAAATTCGCTCAAACTCCATGGTCAAAAAAATTCAAAATGCTCAATTTTTCTAAAAATCGTGTTTTCGAGTTTAAAATACCAAAAATGTATATTGTTGGAATTTTTTTTTTTAGAAATAGTAGTTATTATATGCTTAACATTTTGGCGAAATCAAAATTTTCCTATTAAACTCACTTTTTATTTTATTGTTAATAAACCACATAAAACATAATTATAATGTTATTTCAATCACTTGCATGTTAAAGTAATTCAAAATTGGTTTTTTGAACTTTTTTTTAAATTCGGTGTGTAATATATAGACGTTTTTGGTGAAATCAAAGCTAATTAATATTTTTTTTTCGATATTTATGAGCTATTTGAGCAAAACGCCAAAGGGCTGTTTCTTTGATGGTAATTGAAAAATTGCAGTCTTGGACGCTAATTGCTTAACATAATAAAATTAAAATGCGTTCATAGACATCCTCTAAAGTTATGTTTAAAAGTTAATTGATTGACAGATATGTATGGAGATATCGATATTATTCCAAGAATATACATCGAAAAAAAGGAATTTTTAAAAACTTTATTAAATATTCTGTAATTTATAACAATAATTTGATGTTATAATTGTTGTATTAATTCCACCATGCACCATTCAGCTCCCCCCCTCAGATTTTTTTAAATTATGTTGGCTTCTGTAGGTAAAAAAATAAAAAAAAATTAGGTTAAATAAACTAAATTTTGTATCCATATGAAAAGAAACATTTTTCCACTATTTCTTCCAAACCCAAAAATTGCTTTATGTTATTACACACCGAACGAAGTCCAAAATATCAACCTTGAGTTACTTTAGTATGCAAATGATTGAAATAACATTATAATTATATTTTACGTGGTTTATTAACAATAACATAAAGATCTGATACTGGGGAAGGGTGCAGCCACTGTTGTAGATGAAAATTTGGTAAGGTAGAATATATAAGGTTATTTTATTTACATCTGTAAGCAATGATAAACCATTACTGCGAAAGTGCTGTTCTGTAATACGTAATTTGAAGTGCCGTATTTTTTTTCAACCTTCCTACGCTTTTTCCCGATTATTATGAACACTTATTACGAATTATAATTACGAACTATTATACTATAACTATTATTACGAAAATCAAAAAAACGACCTCCATCATTAGAAACAAGATTAATAATTCAACAAAAAAAGTCTCTTGCCGTTTTTCAATTTAAGCCATATTTGTGCTAGAAAACGTGGTAGGTACTTATTTAAAATACCGAAATCGTGAAAAAATCGTATTTTTTTTCCCTGTTAATTGTTTTTATTTTAAATATAGTTTCGAAAATCTTGAAATTAAAAAAAAATTATGAAGTCATAATTTTCATTTTTTATTTACAAGCATTGAAAGTTCAATGCTTGATGAAAATTCAAGAACAATTGCAAATTATATTGCGGTTACATATTAATACAAATTTCAGTTATCGAAACACTTTAATTAACATCTGCTCAGAATCAGTTTTTATTTACAATCTATCAGTGCATTCAGTATAAAAACTAAAATACTTTATACATCCTACGTTCCCAACTTCCCACCTACAAGCAGCGGTCGAAAAATTAAATTTTGTAACATAACATGTGCGTGCGTGTGTGTGCACCTATTTGTAAGATTAAATCATTATTCAGTATTTGCAGTTAATAGACCTGTATGCCTGTAATCAATCCAACAACTACATAGGCAATTATGAACAATAACTGTTTAACATTTAAGTATGCGCTGTATAATATTTAGTTTTAAACTTTTAAGTGATTTAATTATTTCTTGTGGATAATTAAAATAATTGTATAGGTAATTACAGAATTCAGATTAAATTTTTTTTTTTTTTCAATTCATTATTTTTCTAAATCGACTTTAAACACATTTTATAGGTAGGTATTTGATATATTTATCGTATAAAATATAAGCAATTAATAATAAACGATACAAAGTTCAAAGACATATGAATAGATACGCAGGTAGGTAATCATTCAATACGGGTACAACAAACGTGTATTATTTCACCTAGATTAATGTAAGATATTATTAAACCAACCAGAAAACGAACAAAATCCAAGGACAATCAGAATTTATACTCGTTTAGTAATAGGCTCACGAAAGTCATGTGTCCGTATTATTTGTATAGCTAGTTTTTTTTATTATATCTACTCGTTACTGAAAATCAAACAATGTTCAGGCCATTAGGCGCCCTCGTGTCAGTTCACTTTTACTTTTTGTGATCGGTGCTACCTATTTCCAGAGCACTGTAACCTAGGTGTGTACTAAAAATATCCCGAAGTTTGGCAAGTGAAAGGCGCTAGGGTCACAATTCGTAATAAAAACCGTCATAAAATGAGACCGTTTTGAGAAACTTGAAAATCGTTCGATAGCTTACACATCGGGTGGTGTTGTTAAGTAGGTACGTAAAGTACCTGTGGACAGTAAGAATAGGTACGGTCCGTTAATATCGGGCGACACTACAAGTAGGTACAACAAGTGTTCCGCAAACAGTATACAATAATTAATAATAATGTCATACATACTTGCGAAATCTCCGGTGTCGGCCACGACGACCGTAAAGTCCTTGAGTTGTGTCAACGACGACATTTTCGTCTTCTTAATCGGTGGTTCGGCCATTGATCGACGTTTTATATGTTATTTTGAATTCAAATTCGCTGAGCGACCAAACAAACGGAATAGACAACGTTTATCAGCGGGGAACGGCCGTGCAGTACTGGCGCAAGGACTTCGAAACTGATTAGATTATCACCTAAGTACATAACCTCCACGTGAACTCTGCCGCTGCACTACTGCCAATCGAACGGTCGACGAACAGGTTGGCCATGCGGATAAGGATAACAGGCGCCAAGGTGATTGGTGACGGGGACGCGGTGAAGGTGAAAAAAAAAATGAGTTCGGTCACTTCAATTTTAATTAGTTGTTCGGTTATTCGTTTTGTTTGCCAGGCGTGAAGCAACACGGTTGTCTGATCACCCGGCACATTATCGATTGAACTCCGGACTCTATCGATAAATACCAAGGAAACATGTTGTCGTATGCATTGTCTTGCGAATGCGAGTTTTTAAAAATGTGCCCATCGATATCGGCGACAAAATTGGAAAACGAGCACGTGGATAAAACCAATAAACACAAACAAAATACATTTAGTCTCCGTAAATAATACGTGAGACGAAAATCACGCTGTAATTGTCGCAGCTACGCGCGACATTGAAAAAGATTAAAAGAAAAGATTTTGGCCAAAAAGGATATGCTATATAGTAATATAATCTGTCAACTGAACTATAATATGTTAAGTCCACTACAAAATAATTATTTTTCACAATACAATGATATAAAATAATATTCTCAGAATATCACAGTGTTCCGAATGAAAACCAAAATCAAACGGGTCTGCAGAGTAGGAACACGACGAATGAATTGTAAAGTTTCACTGGTGTGGACGTATAGGATACAAATACGTTGTTTACGACAGTGACTATGTACGTCTTTGACCGCCACTAGTCGGGAAACAAACTTTTGTCGGTGATAATGTTCCCCAAGTGTAAACGCGGCTTTAAACATGCGTATGTACCTACTTAAACCTTTGCCGTGAACCCATAATTCCTTTAGTAAACGTGAATACAAAAACAAAAGGTCATTTATCATTTATCATGACGTGTACGTCATAATTCACAATGAACGTTCATAAATCGACAGAATCCACAGACATAACAATATTATTATGCACATCAATAATTGCTGGGACGGTATAAATTTATACAGAATCTAAAACAACGAAAAAAGCATGTGAACTTTTAAGACCAAGTTCCTTCTCCAATCTGATTTAGATCAGTTGGTTGTTTGGCGCAAATTTCTGGGGATCGATTAAAACATTGTTAAATGCTCAGTTGTGACATTCCCTTGGGTATTCTTACCATTTCCCCAATCAAAGTATCAAAGATTCAGTAGACACATTGGTCCTTAATTTGGTAAAAGTAGGGTTTCAAACCGAAATGATTTTTAGTGGTTAATGGTTTAGGTTCTTTTTTTTTTTTGGTTTCAAATGCCGGTCAATATTGATCCTACACTTTATAGTTTTATATAATCGGTTTCAAAATTAATAAAACCGGTTAATTTTGTTCTTTTGGATTCTGAGTGGAGCGAAAAAGCTTATGGTTTTACAAAGATGTTGATTTTTTTTTTCTGTGAACAGCTTTTCTACTAGAGGACTTGCTCCGATTTCTACGTGTAACAACTTTTCTGAAAGAAAATCGGTGTGGGGAGGTACCTTTAATCCTAGGACGTCTTTTTAATCTCTCATTCGTCCCATCTTTGAATATGTTTCTGTACTTTGGAACCATTGGCTCATATTCAGTACTTCAAACTTAAACTTGGGGGTGCTAAAAATATTTATCATTGCGTATCACGTGGGGAGGCTTCGCCCTGCACACCCCTAAGTTATTCCACATTTCGAAATAAAATTATATATTATTACTTACCCATTAAATAAACAAAATTGAAAATTATGAGACCCGATTTTTAATCTTTCATTGCCTAATAAATAACCAACAAGGGATATAGATACCTCCTTAAAAATATGAAAACAATTAACATTTACTTACATAAGTAATAATCATATACAAATAATGTATAACATTAATTATTAATATATTAGACACAGTTAGGTACCTAATATAAATCAATAAACAATAATATAATAGTAATTACTTATCTCATATCTGAGTACTATTTGAGTATTATATTTATTTTATTTAGCTCAAAATCTGGAGGTGCTAATTTTAGATTTAGGGGTTTTAAGCACCTTCCTATGTGTGCCAATAACTGGAACCCATACCTAAACTTATGGCGTCTAGATGATTGTCGATTGATCGTGTCCAGAAGACGTTTCATCATGTTTTTTTCAGACTGAATATTGTTGAATATTGTGCCCATTCACATCACGATTATTACACTCAATTTCCCATTATTTTTCCAATCCTGCTGTCTTGTTGACTGCAGGCTTTTCATTATAACTCGTTTTCTAATCCAATCTTCTGACTGGCAAAATTGATTCTCCTACCTTACTGTCATAGATTTCTTTTCAAATTTCCTTCCATAATACCCACTCTTCACTTATTTTCTTTGTCACGCTCTGTTACTTACTACTCTAGTAACTCTTCTTATTTTCCGCTTTATGCGTGCTGTTAAGGCAAACATGTAGGTACCAATAATTTATTATTTTATTGCCTAGATACCTATCTATCTTTAGTATATTGTATTTTTATATATAAATTATTGTTATCATCACTATTAAAAAATTTAATTAAGTAAAACAAAATTCATGTAGGTGAAAGACCTTTATGGAGATCAAGGCCAAGACAGAAAAATTATATTATAAAACCATCAGTGGTTTGACCAGGAATTTGTTGAAAGGAAGCTGTAGATATTAGAGTTAGCAAGCTTTGTTTTCAGCAGTGTCATCTTATTGGTTTTTGAAAAAAAAGTTAACTTTAACATTGGTATTTGATGTAAGATGTTAAAATATTTTCTTTGGAAGTCACAAAAACCAACATAAATTATTTCAAATGTAGGAATGTCATATTTTTATCAGATATTTATTGAAATAAATATTTCACCAAGATTTCAATTAATTTGGCAAGGAGACGTTTTATTTTGAAGACATACAAATAAAAGTAATACATGATATTAATACCTAACTAAATTTGGTTAAATAATTTAATTTAATGAAATTCAATAGATATTTTAAATAAAGATATATAGGTATTTAAAATCACAAATCAATATCCTTACAAACTATACTGAATTAAGAATTATAATGATCAAATAAATTAATATTAATACAAAACCAACTAATTTTATCACTATTACATTGAGAATAATGGATATTGCTTAACTAGAAATAAACAATATTAACTTTATGGGATAACAGTAAGACACATGCAATATCTAAAATAGATAATTCACCAAAAGAATAATAAAATAAAAATAAAAATGGAACACACCAGTAATCGGAATTGAGATGTCTTATTCTGTGTTGGCATTTAAAAATGATGACTTACAATGCTAACTACACTTTACTTAGCTTAACATCTTTCCATAACAATTTCATGGTTGATTAACTATAATAATCGTCAAAAAAAAAAATAATAATAATAATACAAACAAATACTGTTATTATGTATACATTTTTTTTATAGATAAATATTGTAAAATAAACATACTAAAATATTTGGTTCAAATTAATTGATCAATGGTAACAATATTCACTAAGCAAAGAAGAATTCTTTAGTGAAATACTGAAGTAAGGAACAAATGTGAATGGTGATATATATAAATACCTAGATAATATTTTGATACATTTGAAAAACTTTAAAAATAATAAGTGATTAAAGATTATTAAATTTCAATTTACTTAAAATAAACCATTTGTATAATAACCTTACATAAAATGAATTATTAAATACAGTAATATTTATACATCAAATAGTATTATTATAGTATACAATGGTTCACTAAATAAGAATAGAAAAATAAAATTGAATAAAACAAGTTGTTCGATATTTTTTGCTGCTAAAATTTTGATTTTTGAATAAGAATTATGTATTATCTATAATATTACTATTACTGAAGTTATACTTAAAACAATAATAATTGTTTCAATGGCTACTAATAAACCTAAATCCATAAGGAAATAACTTTTATCACAGTTAATACTTAAATTTAATGTAAATTATAGTACACAAATTTAATAATTTAATAATAAATATTTCCCTTAGGGAAAAATAAAAATCTGCTTCCGTCAACTGGCAGATAAACTGTTCTATCTATAAGTAGTGATGGGATCAGACAGTATCACATAACATGGAAGCAGCTTCTTCGACATTCCAGTCGCTGTTGTTTAGGGCGACCACACAAGCTTCTCTGGTTGCCATTCCCAATCTAAAAAGACCAGTTGTTATGTAATTCACAACCACATTTTGTGTGTGACAGTTGTACACATATAATATGTATCACAATTCTATCATACATTAATTTACTAACCTTAAAAGATTATTAATTTTTAGGTATTTCACACTCTCCCAAAAGTTCCAAGATGTTGTCTCTAATGCATCCAGGCATTCATCTGCGGTTACTGTATTATTGAAATAATTACATAGTTGAGACACAGTAGAATCAGGCTATATATATATATATACACATATATATACATATATATACATAAAAAAAGCTATATTATTATTTTAATAAGAAAGTAATTCCTGGTTTATAGCATAAAATGTATGGTCAGAGCAGCATAAATCTAAGATATACATTATTTCCCTACTAGTATTTACCAAGTATTACTTTCATATCATAATGTATAATCATTTTAACAGTAAAAGTTGAAGAAGATTTATTTAAAGTGAATAAATAATAATCTTGAATTTGCACCATTTTTACATTTTTAATACAATAAAATAAATGTTTATTATTTGGTATGATAAAAATAAATTAGTATTATTAAGTAATGACGATGGCTAATTGAAATTTTATTTTTCTATGGTATTTTAAAATTTAAGAATAAAACAAGATTAATACCATACAGATCCAAGTAAATTATATTGAGTAGATGGTAATTAAACATGCATTTGTTTAATAACCAGCTTAAACTTATTATTATTATTTTTCAACACGTTGTGTATCATTAATTAAATCATCCAAAATTATTCATTATTAATTGTGTAAGAGACAAAAGATTATTATACTATTTCTATCACAAACTATAACACAATCTGTTTTCACTTATCACTGGTAAAATTTCGGTG